CTGTCTCTTATACACATCTAGATGTGTATAAGAGACAGCCCCAGTAGTGTGCAATATATGATGAAACATTGTGGGATAGCACAGCTCTCTATACATATTTTTAAAATAATTTTGCTGCTTTTTTTTTCATATTGTCAAATTGAATTAATTGCCTTAAATTTTTTATTCTGTTGTGTGTGCTTTTTGTTTCCTCCTTTTGACCTCTTTTTTTTTAAATTAAAAATATCTGTGATATTTTGTCCTAAAGTACAATACTCCCTGCTGACAAGAATAACACTATCCTTAATTGAAAAATCTCAAACAATCTGCTACCATAACTTGTAAAATACCATAACTATAGTATGCTGATTGCTTAGTTTGGTTACCATGACAATAGACTGACAACACTTGGTGCCACAATCAGTCTACCGATATAAGAACATGAGCCCAATCCTTGCCCAATAACCACATAGCCAAGATAGTGGTAGGCCAAGGTTCCATTTTTAACACAGCAAACTTGCGTATTTTAATAATAATTCATTTTAAAAATATAACCAACAAATAATAAACTTTCATTTTGTTTAAATTTATTATTACCACATAGGCCTAGATAAAATAATTGAATGTTTAGACAAAATTGAAAGCAAATTCATAAAAAAATTGATGCGCAAGAAAGAAACCACATGGCTAACCTTTCACCTAGATTAATGGCGCGCGATTTGTTGGTTTTTTTGTTTGTTTTTTGAATGAGGGCCAATTCACTGCCTCATGCTGAAGATCTTAGGTTTGTTGTGTGATTGATGATTGTGGAGTGATGGTGTGGTATTTAGTACTAGACAACACATGAAACTTATGTTATCGAGAGTGTCCGTGGAATACAAATAATAAATTATGTTTTAAAATGTTAAATGATTGAGTGGATGTTGGCTCATTGAATTTAAAAGGTAAGGATAAGGCCTACAGTAGTGAAGTAGAAGGAAGGAGAAATAGGTAGGTTTAGACTAGCACAGCACAGTGAAACACATGGTCCCATTGCTCAGTGCTGTCAAGCTGTGGTTTAGGCTGCTGGCTTACAGTTTATTCAAATTTGCAGAGCTAGAGTATATTTCCCTTGTATTTCGAAATTGTTTATGAGTACACAATGCTTATCAACACATCGTTAATTAGAGATGCAAGATGACGCTGTGTATAAACAATTGATAAACTTAACATTTACTTGTGAATTGCTAGGTACAAAAACGTAGGCTAACATTTCCAAATCGTCATTTTTGTACTTTTTGAAAAGCATACACACACTTTCAACCCCCCTCAGGGGCGGACCCAGAGATGTCCAAAAGGGGGGGCCGAAAGGGGGGCCGAAAGGGGGGCCGAAATTTGGGCCGATCGAGATCAGATCTCCATTTGGAGAACTTTCTCTGTACTGTATAGTTATTTTATTACTATTATTAGTCTGTAAGTCAGTGAATAAAAACTTCTCATATAAACACTTTGAAAAAAAAAAAAGAATAAAAGAGGCACTTCTCCATACACCAAATTACAGAATCAGTAATTTGTTTATTAATAACTGGTATTTCAGGTGGTTTGTGAATTGATACCCCTATCTCAGGATGCATATTTCAGCTAGTAGGTTCAGGGAAGGAGGGTCAGATCTCCAGCTGGAGAACTTTCACTGTATAGTTATTTTGTTAATATTATTAGTCTGTAAGTCAGTGAACACAAAATTTTCATAAACACACCAAATTACAGAATTAGGAATTTGATTATTAATACTGATATTTCAGCAACTAAAGAGGACTACAGAGCTGGAAGAAACTAAATAATTTGTTTAAATTATAATTTTCTAAAAATCAAAAATAAATACTGTAAATAAATTAAGGTGGCAGGAAAAAAGGAAACAGGTACAGAAAACTATTTCATTTTTATTAGCCTAATTGCCAAACTGATCATTGTTTTTGTAATTACTTTTTCTGTAAATTCTGTAATTTACTTCCTCTTTCCATTCAAAGGGATTAACTGTAATTGATCTTTTGTTTTTTTTTTTAAATGTTTCTTTGGCTATTATGACTTGGATTTTAAAAATGTTTTCGTTTTAAATGAATCCCTCGCCTCTTCATGTTCTCTTCATCATTCTGACCATCTCAAACTCGTTGACAAACGTTGCAAAACAGATGCTTACAGAAGATTTTACTTCAATCGTATTGTACCTAAGTGGAACTAACTCCCTCACCCCATACATTCAAACTCGAAATTATCTGGTTTTAAGCGATCCTTACGCATATTTTATGAGCTTCTGTTTGTCAACGAGTTTGACCATGCCAGCACTTGCACTTGGGTTACTAAATGTTTTTGTCATTTATGTAGAACTGTGTAACTTTTTTCTTTTTTCTTTTCGACTTATATTATTATGTATGTAGAACTGTGTAATTATTTTCTTTTTTCTTTTCGAATTATATTTTTATGTATTTGCCATTGGGTTTTGTGAATTTGGAGAGCGTGTCGTGTTAGAGGTGCTTGCACCTGTTGATACGCTCTCTCACTGGAATTTCTATTTATATATATATTTTTGTATTGTTGCCAGTGTAAAGCCGAATAAAATAAATTTTTAAAAATAAAATAAATGAATTGAAATTAATATCAAAATGTAATTTTGGCATGCATTGGCCCCTGACTGCATTTGTAGGGTTATAAACATTAAATTTAATTAAACTGTTAAATTACATGGGTCCTACCAAAGGAATTGAGGGCCTAACTACCAAGTATCCAAGTAAGTAAGTAAAGTCATGCAAAAAAATATTGAGACATCATTTAATTTCATTAATGAGGAAATCATTTTCATGACATTTCAATTTTCAGTTGAAACAATTGAAAGCCAATCAATTAAAGAAACACAAAGAAATAATTCAAATAGTTAATTTATAGGCTGTGGATATTGTTCCGACAGTTTAACGTAAATCTGAGGTGTTGATTGGTGGATGGCTTGATTCTAACCTTAAACTTCATGCTCACTATCTTAATGCACTACAGTATGTCAGAAGAATATTCATGTTGTAATATGCATTTTTCAAATTCAATAGCTCAACACAGATAGAATTGATAAGATAGTTAATAGAATCCGCAAAAACAGCAAAAAGTATTACAAAAAATAAACAAGGTTACAAAATGATAATTGAGAATGAGATGAGTATGAAAATTATTTTTCTATCTTACAGTACAGCAGTACTACTAGCCGATGGCTAATTATAGTTTATACTACCGTCCATGAATGTTGCGATGTGTAGTGTAATGCATCTTTCTTTGTTTCCATCACTATTATTTTTTAATATTAATAAAACATTGTTGTTAACAACAAACATGTAGAGTAACTTCCATCATTATATATTTCATCATCCATCATAATAATAATATACTGCAAAGTGCCATATCATATAAAAACTAAATTAAATATATGCATAATCTGACGTACATAATCTGACGTAATATTCATGCTCCTTACTTTTTATAATCTGTTGCAAAGAATCCCCCACGAGCTGGGTCGCTAGCCTCATCAGCATCACCGGTAGAGCCACCGCCGGTACTGTTGCCTGCCCCGCCTGTCAGAGGACGTTCGTTAGCGTAGGACACGTTACTACTGCCAGACGCCATGTCGTCGTAGTCCTATTTGTGAATTAATAAATAGAATGCAAGGTTCATAATTCACATTTTATAAACATTATATACTGATTCGATGCATGCCAATCTTTTAATAACTATTGATAGCGGCTTACCTATTTTAACACCTACGAAAAACTAGGTTCGTGTTGGCAATCAATGGTTGATAAATTGGATAGCAATATTTGACCTTTAAACCGTGAAATATATTTTGTTTGTTTTTCAAAGTTATCATTAGCAGCGATTATATTGTCATTCTAATATTTATATTGTTTTCATTGATATCATTTCAATTAAAGTAATGATTACTGAATAATGATTGCAATAAAATATTATGAAGAGAGAAATTATTTAACTTAATGTTAATGACATAATTCTCACGTGGGTCATGTTATCGGCGGTCACTGCGCAGTTGCAGATGTGTTTTACAGCATCATCGAAAGAAGGGTTTTGTTGACTTGGTTAGATAAAATCTTTGATTTCTGATCATAAAAACCCACAATTTACTCTGTTTAGCCATGGCTGACTTTGATAGCAATCCATTTGCAGATCCACACGATACCAGCCCGTTTCAGGTGAGGCGTTGTATGCATTATCATTTTATAATTATGATTTGACAATCCATTTCCTGCCCGTGTCCACTGAGTGTGCCTTGGCCCTAGGCCTACGTAGGTGTTGAGGGGTCTTGGTTGGTTCGGTATTGTTGGATGGGCCCGTTGGATAGTTAGCTTGAGGCGGCATAGGCCTAGAGGCTTAGCCGAGACTAGGCCTAGTTCACCTAGGCCTAGCCTAGTTAGTAGCCTTTGTATGAGTAGGACCTAGTTGTAACTCTCATTACAAATGAACTAGGGCCTAGACCTAGACAGGGTTTTTTGAATAATTAATTATAAAGTTTAATTTATCATTTTTTAATTTCTTCTATTTTTTTCCTACTACTGTAGGCCTAAGTATTATAAATTTTTATTATATATTATTATTATATCTTCTATTTTAAATTGCTGTTTATGTAAGGATGGATTAACTAGCTTGTGAGCTACAGCGATTTTAATTGCTTTTTTTAATTCTTGCCTCCTTATAGATTTTCAGTTTTATTCTGTATTGTGAATTTTTATTTTACTGTATGTGCAAATTGTAATGTGATTTTTATAAAAGGCTAAATAAAGAATGAATGAAAGTATTTCTTTTATTGAAGAAGACTTTGTTACTGTTTTTTTTTAGTTACTGTTTTTGGCCCAGGCTGCTGCTAGCTAGGAATGGGTGAGGCTCGTCTGAGGCATAATAGTATTATGAAGAGGAAATGGTTATTATTAATATTAGGCAAAAAAAATATGTATACTTGTTTTAGCGTCACCACCCCCACCTGAATTTTTAAACAAAATAAGTTCAGAGGCAGGATTTTTTTTTTTAATTAAAAAAATGAATATTGTCCTGGAAATTCTAATCAAAATTAGTATAGACCTATTTTAAGTGAATTAAAACAATGATTTCACCAACTAGGTGTAATATTTATTGTAGGCCTATTGAAAATGATTAATTTTAACACATTTTATTTGATAACTGATACTGTAGAATTAAAAAAAAAAAAAAAATCCGCCCCTCCCCACCTAAAATTTTGTTGTGATATGACGCTAAACAAGTATTTTTTTTTTTATTTGGCCTGATTGTGACACGTCATAATGTTTAAGATATAACTATGATTGTTAAGCCGGATCCACAAATCAACTTCTCAAGTTTTTTTTTTTTTCATTTAACCGTCGAAGCAATAACCACTGCCTAATATTACATTAATAATAATACAAATAGACATTGGCTACGCCTAGGCTAGGCTACTGTAAGCCTATAGGATTTTTAAAGTACATGTAGGCTAACTGCATTCCATACTGTACAGTTTTTAATTGCACTGAGGATACCTAAGAAATCAGCTCAAATTTGCAAAGAAAATCACTAGGAAAATAGGAGTACAGAATCGTAATTGTTGCATAATTGCATTGGTTATGCATTAAAGCCCCATTCCCTCCAAAATTTCAGTTAAGAAAAATCTGATTTTTATATATATGTTATAAAGATTTATACATTACTAAATTGCTAGCTATACTGAATTTAGACATTCCTAATTTTTTATGTTCCACACAAAAAATAAACGCGGATGAATTTTTTGTTTTAATTTGAGATAGGTCTGCGAAGAAATATAGTAGGTGCCGGAAACATTAGCCTCAACAATGCTAGGCTAGGCCTACACTGTAGCCTTACCTCGATTAAGGTTCTGTTATCAGACATAAAAACAGCTGATATTTTCCGTTGCTAGTATTGACACTTGTGAAATATAATATTTCATTGAAATTTTTTGTTTGATTTTTAAAACAATGATTCTGACCCAGATTTGGACAATTAAACAAACATACTCAGGCCTACTCAATCGACCGCAGTGTGCGAGATGCGAAGTACAAAAACTAATCTTATTAGAAAGGGCGCACTTTATTGACTGTATAAAGTATACACATTCCAGCGGATGTGATCTACAACCTCTGAATTTGCCTAGTAACGAATTTGAGAAAATGGTAATCTTCTATGAGAAATAGTCTATATTTCTAATTTTTTATCCATTTGCATATTTAACTAAAATTTATGCCAATTGATATTTTTCCATGGTTTATGATAGTTTGACTAATTCATTTTTTCTAGAAAAAATTCTCTTTTTAGTGAAATTTTGCCGGGAATGGGTAAGCTTTGGTCAAACCAAATTTTCGGCAAAATCTGCCAAATATCCTCCTCGCAGACCTTACTATACAGTCTGGATGGTATTGAAATTGTGCCAACCTGGTTGTTAAAAATATGAGTCATGACAATGAAAATAAAATCATGTGTCCGGGTTGACTATCAAATTTCTATAGTGTTGTATCTGTATGTTTTGCTGTGTTGTATTATTATCGTAACATTTTTCCGTCGTGTCCGTCTTGAAAATATATCAAGAAATGTAACACGAAAACAATACATACAAAATATGGGCTGTGAACTACAATTTGACATCAACTATATTGAACTTTATTTATCAACATTTGAACTTTATTTATTAAAAAACATCATACTCATAATAATCTTCTGTCAAAAACTTCTTTTTTCAATTTTTTTCCATTGTTTATAAAGTGCATTATCGCCTTAGGCCTAATCCTTAAAAATCGATTGCAATAAAAATGAAATGAAGACGGAACTCAAAGCAAGATTCTACGACGGCTGACTCTTTTTCAGTATGTTTAATTCGGATTTGTTGTATCCCGTTGGATGTCGTAGTAGATTCAACAGTGTAAATTACAAATGCGTAGCTTCACTCATTCCTCAAAAGCATGTTGCTAATTACGGAGGGAATTTGTAGAGAATGAAATTTACATTTTTAAGATTTATTTAGATTTGACTGTAAAAAAAAACCACCAGGGTTTCTTATTTGTTTTAATCAATCAGTTTAATTAAAAATTAATCGATTTACACTGAGCTTGTTCCTATCTGCAAGCCGTCAAGCACTATGAAACTTTGGACGATCTGACGTCATTACAGCCAAACAGATGTTTGCCTATCCATGACCCCACGAAACAAATTAACCAATTAGTGGGCAGAGGCACGACCTAATGTTTACATGAAGTTGTGTTTATAAGTTGTGTTTGGAAAAAAAATGTCTGACCAAAAATGCAATATAAAACCATGAAACACACAATCCAGTTTGATTTTATTCACATTTTACTCATAATACAACATAAAAGACATTAAATAACTTGCTTTCATTTAGAATAAGGTTTAATATTGTGTTCACGGCGATCCTGCCGAGTCTACCACCACTGGTACTACTAGTACCAGCATAGGTCTGGATTAACTTGAGCTAGGCCTAAAATCTTCACGTCGGCAATTTTTTTCGTCAGCGTTAAGCGGCTAAGAGCCGCCATTTACGTTGGCATTGCCGAATTCTGGCGTTAATTTTGAGGGCTGCCTGAATGTCATCTTCCAAAATGTCATCGTTCAATACAGTTGAATTGAGAAAGTGAACGGATCATTCGAGCCAAACACAACTGATGTAATGTATTATCAATCATATTAAACATTCAGAATCATCAATAAATAGGAATGATTATTCTGATTAATTTTAAATATCTTGGCTAATTTTGCAATGTATTCTGAGGGGGTACAAAAAAACGTAATTTAGTGTCCAATCTGTTTTTATTAATTTTGTTCTTAATTTGCCTTTCATTATTCAACTGTAAGATTACAGTAAGTAAGATACATTTTAGCATCGTTCCTTTATGATTTATTGGCGTCACATTGTTTGCTGAATTTTGCACGAAACCACATTTATGCATGGCATAGTTAAAAGGCAGGTAGCCAACGATAGAAAAACAACCACTCAGTTTTTAACAATTAATTTCACCAGATGTTAAGATGCTTTAAAATTCATAACTGCCTGTTAAACTCTAAAAATAAATGAGACACAGATTTTAAAACAATCCAATGTTTTAATGATTTTACTAAATATTTTACTATAAAAATTCAGTACCTGCCAATTTAAAGGATGTAAAAAAATTTAGAATATTACATTCAATAATACATCCGTTAATAAATTGTCAAATAGTCAATTAAAGTTAATAAAAAAAAGTTTTTGAATTTAAAGCACTTTTAATTTTTTTTTAGCATTAAACAGGCCCATAGTACAGTATCCTACTATAGGGGACTGCATTACATTAGGATATCTATTTTTCATTCACTATGTGTATGGGGAGAAATTTTACCATTTTTACAGAACATTCTTCATCTTCCTGGGGTGTCAGTCAAACTTGGATTGGCTTTATTCGGTGTAAACACCAAGGATAGCCCACGAAAGTCTAGAAGAAGACTTATTCCAGTGGGGTCCTTCTGGTGGTGATTGGGCACAACACCGGGAGACAATTCCCTACTCTTTTTCGAACAGTGTACTGTATTCCACCAGATTAGCTGACTGAGCTGCAGTAAGCTGCTCCCACAACTGACGAATCAGAATAGGCCTATGAATACAAACTTGTCCCACAAACAATAACCAAGGGATTGGATTGGATTTCTTCCGTGTGATACACAGGGGCAGTACACCGGGAGACAATCCCCTGCTCTTTTCCGAAGAGTGTACTGCGTTCTTGCACACAGGACCAACAACTTAAACGTCTCATCCGAAAGACGGTGTGCTTTTGAAACTTGCATTTCAGCCTTCCAGGTGAAACACAGGAGAGCAGCGATGTCATGAATTCCTACTTGACGTATTTCCGAGCGGTATAGGAATGACTAGGAATCCCTCTTTGACATAAAATATAAACGCAGCTCACAGTATTGTAACACAACTCTCAAATAAACTTTTATTCTGTATAAACTCCAACAAGAATCCTGTCTCAAAACAACACAATAACATTCACATAAACATGTGTTTCAAAAAGAGCTTCCTAGAAAGACCAAGCTCTCACCTTATATACATTAGCCCTACAACTCCAGAGCATTCAAGAGCATGCTATATTGCCTCATTGGTCACATTACATCATAATTAACCAATAGGCAATTGCTTTTAGTACTTCAACATCTAGAACCTTGTACATGGTCTCTTATGTTCCTATAATTACCAATGTATTTATTTTTGGTCAAATAAATACAATTCTAGATTGTTCTATGTAATAAATATGTTACAATATTAGGAAAGGAATGATAATTTATTACAAGTGATGGGAATTGAACCGAGGACCTAGATATCTCCGCGGTTCAGAGCGCACTCAATGGCTACCACCAGTTTAGCTGACTGAGCTAACTGCTCTTGTGGGGCTTAGCGGAATGCTCTATTTTTAGAAAAGTAGACCCATGTTCAGAAGCGACATTTTGCTGTCCGTCTTTAAATAACCTAGAAGTATATTATTACTTCCTAATTCTTTGTATTGCTGCTGTAGAAAAATAAATTACTCATAACCAACACCCACAGAAATGCTGATGAAATAATTAATATTATGAAGAAAGTCAAAACTTGGAATGAGATAAATGTAATCGTGCTGTGCACGATACAAGAATATTTGCTAATGATATTTTTTTTTTATGGAAAAGACTAAAAATATTGACTTTATAGTTAGTGCAGAAATGTTGCAATATTGAGAAGCTACTGTATTTTGTTTATAAATATTTTCATATGACTAGCCTCTTTAATACAGTACTACTATACTGTATAAAACATTATAAACGCTTTCAGTCATAATAGCTACTGTACTGTATGTTTTATGCTGGGATAAATAAATAAATAATTGTTATAATCAGTTGATGTGCTCTTTACACTCTAGTATGGAATTTCTTATCAACATTCATATACACATGATAATAATGTTCTTAAGTTGTTTGTACAGATTATTAGCTAGTAATCAAATGAATTTTATAGAATGATTTCCATATCAGCAAAAAAACTGAATCTGTATCTTAGTGGACATTTCTGGGGTATCAATCAAACTTAACTGACCAATCAGAACAGTGCCAGGAGTATATGGTGTCAAACAAGCATACGTTTTCCCACAAACACACATGTTGGCATATGTTTACCACTGTTGTTTTGTGGGGCCTAGCAACAATAGAGAGCTTTCGATTGCACTGTAGGACATAGAACGTAATGACATCATTAAAAGTCATCTGCGCATGCAAGAATGTTACGGTCACCTCATCGAGTAGATTCTGGAACGCAATTTAGCCAAATCTACGTATGCAGAGAACGTAGGACGCCAGGTAGGACGGTCACGCATGAGTGATTCCGTTCTAGCGTCGCGTCGTCGCACAAATCGAACGCTCCCTAGTGTCCCAAGTGGCAGGGCTTAAGTGGAAAGGTCTGTTAAAAAGGGTTTAATAAATAATTCATCCATTTTAGATTACAATTCGATGTTTAAAGTGAATGAGTTTTCCAAATTGTAACCACTGATGGTCACTCTTTAATGTAAAAGTAGAAGATGAAAAGAACACGTTCAAAGGCATGTCACCTCATCAGCAGCAACATTGTGAATCGCATTCTATTTATGTAAATAATGCTTTGATTATAATTGATTTTGTCAACTTTACTATCTATTGTCTGATATTCATTGACTGATTACATCATGTATTATTTATGTATTGTTTGTTTATTGCTGTATGACCAATGATGAACATATGACTTTTATGTTAGATCACAACTTTCTTTTATCAGTGTGTATCTAGTATGAATATTCAGCTATTGGATTGATCTGTACTGTAAATGGTAACTAAAGAAACAAAAAACATTTCTTTAAAGCTGGTAGGTTGATATTCTATAAATTGTACTTTTTGCCCATAAAAGCTGAGAATTACCTGCAAGTACAATAATAAAATGCATCTTTCATAATACATCAACCTGGTTTAACCAGAAGGTTTTGTATACAGCATTCTATTTGATTAGGTAGAACAGCTCAAAAAATAAATTTCAGTGATTCAATTACATTTTTATTTGAGCCATTATTAGATTTCGTATTTGATTAGCTTTCATATTAGCTTTCAAATTTCATTTCATTTATTTCATCACATGATAAAAAGCACGAAGTTTAAAAAACAATACACAAAGCAAGACAATTAAAAATGTTTTCAGGAGGTGGATTGGATTGCCAATAGCAAAATAAAACACTTTCTGCTTGGCTCTCTAAAATTACATCATGTAGCATGAGAAAAAATATACCTTTTACTAATAAACAGGCATGTAATTAATACTATTCTAATGTTTTGCATCGAAACTTTAATTGGCTAGTATTTACAGGTAATTAATTTACAGATTGTAGGCTGTAAATTATCTACTTCAATAGTGTGTATGAACACTTTGCCTGCCAAACACGGAGATCTCCGTGTTTCAGGTTTTATTTATATGGAATCCAATAGATGGGGTAATTGCCGACATGTACTAACAATTTAAACACTATATTCAGTCTGGACCGTAAGTATTTCACTATTTGTTTGTTTACATTGAGCGTAGCAGTATATGATGTACTTTCACAAAATCGCGATTATCTTATCAATCTTCGTTGTGCGAAGTTGCATAAATCTCCAAAAGTGAGTCATTTTCATTTTACTATAATACAGGTCACAGATTGTGATTGGAATAAAGTGTTTGGTACCATTGTAAAGCTATGATGTTTGTAGTTCCTGTAGTATTCATTACATGTCAATCTGATCACATATGCACTCTCAACAAGCTTCGGAAAAGTGTTAAAATTTGCTAAAAAGTCTTGCGGTAATAATCTAAAATGATCTATTTAATATTTTAAATTGATTTCTTGTATATAGTTTTCTATATGACAGAATCTTAAGCTTGGTTTCCATGCAATCGCTACTCTCTATCACCGACAGAATTCGGTGATGCTGATTGGTTGGTCGAACCGGGGGGAGCCTTCCCAATTGCGCCGGGGTCTGCTACGCAGCACAAGGACTGAAAACATGGTAGCGATTTTATGGAAACCAGGCTTTACTTAGTAACTGAATATAATCACATGGACAGCATACCTTATGTATAATAGCATCAATCTTTGAAGGGACGTTCTTGACTTTGATGGAAATGTTACCAACTTTAGATGATAGCCACTGCATCCTTGTCGGCGACTTGTTAACTAGTTGCTCACCGGTGTTGTTTATCCTCTCATATTGTCCATTCTCCGCCCCACCACCACTGTTATGAGCAAAGTCAAAAACCCTCTCAGCGTTAAACATGTTCATTACCGTATATTATTACTTAAAATTCTATCAGTATGTGTCCATGAGGTACTACATCAACAACTTTGGGTAGATGTTCTCGATTCCTGTTTTATATGTTGATTGCTCACTGATTCTGTTGTGGTTTACTAGAGTATCACAGCATCGTTGGGTGTTATCACGTTTCCAATGCTCTGTATTTTCACTTTCAAGGCATCGTCATGAATTTGATTTTTCACTGGGAGAATTATCCTGGTAGGGACCTCACACAATACATGTGAATGCATTCTACTGGTATTGATGGGATTAACAAAAAAATATTGACTATTAACTTTGTTCAAAAGCCATCAATATTTGCTCTCTTTTTTTAAATGCAAGAATCAATGCTTTATTCAGTCATTTAATTATAATTCATTTACAAAATGTGTGAATTGTTTTTATTCTATTAAAAAATGGGAGCAGTTAAATATTAATTACATGACCCTAATTTGCATAACCATGTGACTACATATACAGTCACTCTTTACTGTGCCTGTGAAGTTATATCAATAACTGACTTGAGCTAGCTTATAATACAGCCAGCTGTGGCAGGATTCTAAGCCTGTATTTTATGGCCTGCCTATTCTCATCACTAACTAGCAATGGATTTTGAACCAGAGAAGGTACTGTACAGTATGCTTGTAGTGCTAGGGCTAAAACATGGCTGTGTACTTTTCTTAGTAAATTTGAGTTCTGCATGAATATTTAATTAGTCCTACAGTACAGTAGACATTGAATATATCAAGGCTAGGCATACTATAAATAATATAATGTTTATGTTATATACTGTAGATTACAATTTAGCATTGATGAATGAAGACGGGCATCAATCGTTCACATGATTTACTTTGTATTTTATAGAAATTTACTGACATTTCAGGAGAATTTGTTTATTAAATTGCATCTTTAGGTAATACTAGCTTTGTATGCTTGTCATTGTAACAGTGTTAATGTCTGAATTGAATGTATACTGTACAATAGATAACCTTGTTCCATGGCCTAAACCTACCTGTAAGTATGTTAATAAGTAATTTCTTGCTAAACAGACTTTCACATATTTGGCATATAGAAGACCTGTAAAGCCTAATATAATAAACATGTTTTTCTATTTTTTTATATGAAGATATGAGGCCCGCTTTGCTTACCGTAAATCCTTAAATAAGCGCAGCTGATCTTATACATTTTTTGGGGGCTTCAGTGCAACGCTTACTCGAGAACAGCGCTTACTCGAGAGTGACGCTTATTAAAAAAAATATTGGCAAAGCACTTTCCATACTCTTTCCCATGTTACATAGGCTTAGCCAGCGAGCCTTCCGGCCGTCTTCTGGACGGTCTACAATATTCAGAACGGCCACTTTTACCGTGACAGCTTGTCCTAATCAGCTCGGCCTAGCCTAATTGGGCCTGGTGTACCTTTAGCAAATTCTTTATATTCTTCAAATCTATCAAATGTTACATTAAACTAAAGCTAAATCATATTTACTTTTGATAAAAACATTTATTGGTTGAATGTACGTTGTTTTCGTACCAATATTCGGTGGGGATTTTCAAAGATGGGCGTGGCCCACCCATCGGCTCAGTGCCACGCCCACTGGCTTCCATTTTGGACGGCCTATTTTGTTTTTCTGGCTAACCCTCTGCCATGTTACCTATCTCATATATTCCCGTGGACCTATAGGCTTATACCCGTACTATCTATATCTGAGACATTATAAACATATACTTGTGTTTTCATTGTGTTATATCTTCATTGAACATTGTATAAATTGTATTTTAAAAAAAACTTTTTCTCAAAATGTTTCATTACACACAGATAATTTACTCTCGATTAAGCGCTGTGGCACGTATTCAAGGATTTACAGTAGGGCCTGTATTATTTTTATTTTAAATGAAGATGGCAAGAACATACCAACAGTTGAAGGAGGCTTAAATTATGCCAGAGCTAGATCACTGTACACACTGAATGCTTTGGTACTAAACAGCAAGCCAAATGGCCGAGCGGTTAAGGCAGGGTCACCGTGATCATAGCCAACAATATCGGCAGGGGTTCGCGGCTTGCTGTTATAGTTCTGGTGGTGGAACAAGTCTTCTCGGATAAGGACTATAAACCATAGGCCCAGTGTACACAAATGCTCATGTGCACTTTAAAGAACCCAGTACATCTTTCGAGATGAGTAGGGGGTTACCCCGGTGTACTGGTTCACTCGGCCCCTGTCGTGGACAGATCAAAGTGCGCCAGTTTACTGGCTGCAGATGACATGAAGTGACCCTTAGGGGAGGAGAAAGTTATTGAAAAGTGCAACATCTATTCCCGAGCGCATAGAGATCTCATTTATTAGCGCTATATAAATCCATCTATTATTATTATAAACACCTGTTAGGTTTGGACAGTGCAGGACCCTTCCGAAGTTTGATTCACATTGAGTACGGAAATAGCATAAATTTGTGATAGAAAAAGTAGAACCTATTATACTGCTTATGTGTGCAGTCGCCTCTAGTTTAGTGCCGGTATTCATGGATGGATGATAAATGATTCTAATTTGTTTTCCGTTACTGCATTCCGTTACCGTGTTCTGTTAAGGTTGCGTTACTGCGTCTACTCGAAATTAGTGTTTATTCTGTAAACCATTACTGAATATTTAACCTGTCATGCATTCAAATCAACTGCAGGACTCTAATTTTCAGAGTTACACTACATTTTACAAGTGTAACAGGTTGGCCCAAAAGATAATAGAGTATTTTGAACCTCATCTTCTGGTAACTGAATGCAAGTTTGAATTGAGACCGTAGTAGAAGGTTGAATTAAATATAAACTAACAAGACATGTTTATGATACAGTCGCTTAGAAGCATATCTCTCAGGGATTGTTAACTACTTGTCTATCACGATCTTGTCTGATTTGCAGAGTTATAGTAACCATTAAAAACGATTGAGTGAAAGAATTAACTGTCACTCTTTATTTTAACATCGCATTTCATACACTTGAAATTAAAATTATACTGTTTGATGATCAGATCAGAAGCACTTAGAGTTGTCTTATAATAATAATAATATTTATTCGGCAAAGTAAAATGTATATATACAATATTCTTGCCAGGAGTAAGTAATAGGCATACTGTAAGCCCAAACAGTAAACTGCTCTTACTCCATCATCAAAAACAAATACAATATAAATATATACAAAAAAAATTTAAAAATAAAAAATAAATTCAAAATAAATTGATTTAACTATAACAAAATGAAAAACAGAGATAAATAATAGTTATTATTATTAATATTTTGAGATCAAGTGTTTTGAAAATGGCAGTGAAAATTGCTACTGCTATTTACTAACATTGTTGACGCATTTTTTATATAGTACTACAATGGCAACTGGCTAATCTTAATGTACTGTATATGTATATATTGTATAAATATATAAAATAATAATTAATACTAAGCTTAAAATATAATTTATTTATTGCCCTCCAAGGATTACAAAAGTAAGACACTATGCATAATTATTAGTACTACTGTACTGTAATAATCTATTAAAGTTCAGTACCTGTAATTAAAAGTACAGTAAATGCAAAAGATACAAATTTAGGTCTTAAACTTTATTCAGGATGTACTTTTTGCATTTATTAAAATTGACCAATGATATTAGATCTATTTTGTCTATATTTTAAAATTTAAATGATAAATAAAATATTTAATTTCTGTCAATTAATGCTGGGATGCCCTCGAAAGTGATTAAGTTCAATTGGTGTTCCCCCCAGGCATTAATTTAAATTTGTTTATTGTACTGTATTGCTTTGTTCATTATTATTTTTTTGTAATGCTTACCAGAATAAATAAATGAAATGAAATGGAATGAAAATGTATATATTAAAAAATATATAAAATAATAATTAACACTTGTAATATAATTTATTGCACAAATGTGCAGGTCTTTGAAGATATATTTTAACATTCAAAATTTTAATGTTATTTTAATTTTGAATCAAGTAATAAAAATTGTTTACATTATCAAGTCTGTGATTGAAAGAGTTCAGTGTCCACATAATCAGATGCTCTGGATAAACTCATTAGTTGATAATCTCACAGACTTAAGCTTTTGTAAGGTGTGTTTTGACTGATTCATATGATAAATAAGTACTGCATATGTTGAAGGAGTGGAGCTATAGCTTAGTGATTAATGTATTTGACTTCCTATTCCAGGGTCCTAGGTTCAAATCTTGAAAAAAATACCAGGGGTTTTTTTTTTTTTTGTTTTTTTTTTTTTATCTCCCAGGCTAGCGGCGAATTTGAAATACAGTAGAGGAAACCAGGGATGGACTTTCACAGATGGATGATGTATACCACCTCAGTCCCACCATGGTTGGGGCTCAGTCCCAACCATGCTTGGGGCTGAGTTAAGAAAACTTATGATTATGGCATTTCTAGGTGATCAGAAATCATAGTTAAAATTTTTCTGTTTTTCTCCAATTTTTTTTTTCTGAATAATTTATGGGTCCCTGGGACGGATGGGCCCTCATGAAACTGCCACTGCAGGCTATTATTCACTTCCTAATGCCTTATAATGAAACTAGAGCATTACATCATTGTAACTGCTAGTTAGTGTAGTGAAATAAAATTAACGTAAAAACCTTTTAAAAAACACTATATAGTATACAATATCTAACACACCCAAACCTACTGTACATGTTATGATTCGCACCCAAACACACATCATCTACTCCTTCCCTGAAACTGGGTCCCAAGTTTGTAGTAGCCACTTCTGGGATGTCTGGTTTGATGAGCTTTCTAAAGACATCTAATTTTATTCTGCGCTAAGTAGATGAACATAGATATGTTCATCTACTTTGCATAATGTTATACTAAAAAAAAATAATAATTGCATATTGAACCATAACATGTTTCAGGAAAGTGAGGACCGACCATATGAATACTAATACGTAGCTAATGTGCTAAAAGCATGTTGACCTATTGAAAAACATACATTATTATAATTTTCAGTGTGTTTATGATCAACTGTCTGAAACAGATATCCAATTGTATACGTTGCCATTGTAACATTTATGAATTATTTACAACAATCATAAAAACATTGATAATTCATGTTCCTATATTTTTTCTTAAATTGTCATTCTCATTACAAAATTATGTTGGTCTTCAGATAATTAAAAAAAAATATTGGTTCCCCTATAAAATTATGGTTAATATCCAGTGAATAACATTGTAACAATTCCATTTTCATGCCTACTGTGTCACATTTTTAAATATTCCATAATGTTATGCAATAAAATATTTAGTATTTTACATCATCTCCGTACTGTTGTGATACTGAAGCACATTTTCTTGACTGTCTTTGTGTAAATGGCTGGACCATTCAAGCAAGTTTGTTTTGATTGGAATACCCACAAACTTTTTTTAAAGTAATTCAGTCTACTGAAGAAACTTTTCATTCAATTTAATGTATTTTGATTGTAATACATTTTTTAATAAAAATTAATTTAAATTAATCTTAAACAAAAGTTGGAAATAAACATGTATACACAAAATAATAATAATGGACATCATATTAATAAATCAAGAGGGACCAGCTGTATTAGCGACATGTATTATGCAGATGTTATTTATTTGAGAAAGCATTGGTGCATTAGACTGTGATACTAGTCCCTTAAGTGATAAATATCCCCAGTGTAATACTTGGCAAATAATTGTCATTTAACTGATTAATAATATGTGTAATTGTGTTGTGTTGTACAAAGATTACCATTTAGTGAATCCTTTTTGGTATTTATTGGCCCTTGATTCTAAAATGAGCATTTTGTGGATGCTTGATAACCAACACAATAGCTACTGTAGCCTTGGCTCGGCCAGTCCTTGTCAAGCTAGCCAAAGTGCTATAGAATGGCACGCCACTCGTAACAAGTGCCAGCATCTATTTTTTTAAATTTAATTTTCTCACTGTAATTCTGTTCATCACTTTATTTTAAGAGAACAATTTGTTTTTGCCCTGTTGAAAATATATTGTTAATGTAGGCAAAAAAAAGCATTAAGTAAGAGAACCCTTCTCAAGCTCTGTCGCAGTGATGTAAGTTAAGTGATGTGGAAAAGGGATAAAAGATTAGTAAATAAAAATTAACAAAATACTTAATAATAATATTATTATTTACAGTACAAAAACATGGAAGTACCAAAAATGAACTACTGTAAATCACAGTTAAGTAAAGGCTCTACAGTAGGAACCCTTTCACTGAAACATAAAGTACATAACTATTCTGAAGTTATTATATAATATTTAAAATATTGAAATTTTAAAAAATTACAACAATAGCATTTATAGTACATTATACATAATTGTTATTTTAATCTAGCATTAGGAAAAAAAATGTGATTTGTATGATTGTTATATTATCACAAAATCCTTTATTTAAATAACAATAGAGCATAAGACAGAGAATGCTAATTGGGTGATTTACCCTTCTCCATTATTCAATGGAAATTGGATTTACGAATGTCACTATTTGTAAGTGATGACGTAAAATGGTACAAAGAAAATATGAACCGAGGATGGAATCGAACCAGCTGCCTTTAAATGAGTTATCATACCTTAATCTTAAGCTCTCCATTTAGAAATCCACACCAGTTGGAATTCACTCCAGCACCAGACCACCATATAGACCTGTGACCACTAGAATTGACACGCTGCCATGACGTTGAATACTTGGATATAAACTAGCGTGTTAGATGGTGCTGGATAGTGTGTGTATTGTACACATATACTATTTGTTTAACCGCTTGTAAATTGAATACATTTCCAGCTGTTATCATAACCGTATACCGGCCATATGGTGGGATCTGATCAAATATAATTGGTGAATTAAAAGCCAATGGGGTTGAGCCATATTTTTACAGGAAAGATGTGATTTTAGAGCTGTTGAGGTACCACAATGTTGTGTGTCCTCATTCAGACTGGGTTATTGGTGTTAAATTTAACAGAACTTTTGGAAATCCTGATTTGGTATTCTGAATCTGTTCGTTTTCATGGTAGGTGTACAGTAGTTTTGTAAATCTGTATTCGCTTATGTTTATGTTTGTCCTTACTGGTGTTTTTATGGCTTTAATATTTTTTTGTGACCTAAATTTATCTGCTGCTCTTGACATTTACCAAGCATTGTCTATTCGATACTGAATACAGTAATTTTGTTTTCGTTGGATTGTTATCTTCATTGTCTTTGAGCTGATTGATTATAATACTGTTATTTTCATTGAAAATATTGGGTCTGATTATGGAGCATTCTACAGAAACTATTCCCAATGTAATTGTCCGTGTAAGTAAACTGCACTTGAATCTACTCAAGATTTACATCAAAAAGCATAGATATTATGGTAGTGTTTGTAATATCAGTATAAAGTATCTACATTCCAAATAGCAAAAATAGCGTTTGGGTGAAGCAGTATATACTGTACATAAAGTCAGTGATTGAGTTTCAAAGATAAAATAATACAACCACATTTAGATAAAATAAAGCAAGCTAATTTAAACCTAATAATTATAGGGAACTGTACTGTAAAAATAACTTATAGATCAATGATGCCGGAAGAGAATTGTGATACTACAGTGAAAGGACATTTTAGTTGAAAACATAAATTAAAATTGTAGTTTTTGATTTCCTGGTTTCATTATTCATGCAGATTTTTTTTTAAACAGTGACATACAACTTTCTGGTGACTTAAAAATATGAAATGCAAAACATTTGTTACAAAACTCCATCAGGTACTACCAAAAAAAGAAAAAAAAATTATGATTTAAAATTAGTTAATTTGCTAAACAGACTGTATGGCTCAACCTATCAAACAGGCAGCAATATACTGAAAACATGTTTAAAATGTTTGATATTTGTACTGCATAAAATAAATATGTACAGTATTTCTCCTTCAATTGCCAACTATGATCATTACACAACCCCTGTCATCCCACGAGATTTGATAAAAGCAAATTAACTGCGTTGCTCCGTCTACAACGCTACAATTAACTGTCATTCCTTATGGAACCTCTCAATGTATAGCTTCTATTGCTAAGGATGTGTTGCGTTGGCCAGTAGTCAAAATGTCGCCAGCTTCATTGGTGGGATTTTTTTTTTTATTATTTACATTTATTTCCATTCTGAGATGCTGAAGCCAAGTAGAATTGGTGATGTATGCGATACTTGGTGTGGATTTACCAGTGTGTGAATGACCTGAGGAATGCACAGAAATACTAAAAGCAAAAGGCAAATTATTTTTGGGGTGATAAATATAATTTAACAGTTATTTTTGTTGTATTTAGTTGTTCCACTTTTAATTCAACAAACCATATTAGGTTCTAATGGATTTTTTTTTGTTGTTTATTTGCTATAAACACTTGGTTAACCCATGAAAGTCTGAAGAAAACTGTAATTGAGTTTCTTATGGTGATGATTGGGCAGTGCACACACAATGGCTACCTCCAGTTTAGCCAACTGAGCTAAGCTGAGTCTCTCTGAGTATCTCTTGTTTCATAAGCTTCAATTAAGATTGCTTTCACATCCTCTTTAACTTTACATTCTATAAATTGACTTACTTTGCATATTATTTATATACCACACCGACCATAATCATAATTGTGTCCCAAGCTTTGGTTGCCCTCCATTGTGTCTATCCTCTATTACTGACTATAGTTCTTGGAGTATAAAGCCAATATCAGAATTTACAGAAATATATAGTTGATATTGCAGTAATGTGCAAAACATCACAATGTCATATTCAAATACGATTCTAGTTTCCAGATATATACTATATTTACTGATCATTCATTTCAAGGCAAAGTACAATATGTCTGTAAATGGTCATAAAATATGAACCTAATGAAGTTGTTCTTTCATTCGTGTTCCTTTTTTTTTTGTTTTTTATTATTATTAATTTAGACTAAAATAGGATTAAGATTTATTTACAGTATTTGAAAAAAAGAAATTTTACAAATTGAATAAATATTAATATTAAGAACCAGTACTGGTACAAAAGCTTGCAAAAATTATCAAAATCTCGTTATAATAAGAATAATTGATTAAGAAAGAGATAAACACACTTGATAATTATATATGAATTTAATTAGGTTAAAATTGAATATCACTGAAAAAATATATAAAATAGCAAATTCACTATAAGTTTATTATTAGAATTTATTCATTTTCAGAACCAAGATATAGTAAAGCATGATCATTGCGTAATTTATTTGTGTTTCTGAAATGTTATAAATTTGAGTAGTTTCTAAAGTGCTGGCCGTTTCAATTACTGAAATAGTATACGGTCATTAATTCATGTTGGGAGTTGTATCATGATTATTTATTCATTTTCAAGTTGAATAATAATCTCTAGTGATTAGGTACAATGTAGGGGAGGTACGATATTATCGCTGTTCTAAATAGGAACATTTTCAAGGTTGGGTGCCTAGATGAGCAGCAAAAATTCACAGCCAGTGGCATTGCAAAACAATAAAGATTTGCAATTAAAGTGATTCGCCATAGTAGCCTAGGTCAATACATAACACCGGCTGTATAAAATTGATCATAGATTGAAAATTGTATTGTACCGAATACTATGTCCACATTGTTGTTATTTGTTAGTTAATATAAATAATATATAGGTATACAGTATAGGCCTATATGCCTATAAATTATTTATATTTGTACTTCAAGCATTGTTTAAATAAAAATTACTATATTTCTACAGTATGTTTCAAATAATATTATATATTAGGCCTAGTTATATATGAAGTTAGTATAGTGTATAACGTAATATGAATGTTTTATATTGCAAGCATTTTTAATGTGAAACAAATGATTTTAATGCATACGTGTAGGCCTAGGTGGAGGCATAATAATATTGAAATACATTAAATATAGTGTTAGTGTTTAAAATGTTTCTATATTTTTATATTATAAAAGATTCAGGAAAAAGGAAGAAAAGTCAAAAGATCCAGAGTAGCTAAAAAATGTACCAAAAATTATTTAACAATGATAATGGCTAATTTCATGTGTTTGTATAAATTTTGGGCACTAATCATAGGAGGTGTATGTGCCAAACCTATCACATTTCATAATTCGACGTCAAATCAAGACCTTTGATTTGAGTTTCAATTGGTTTGATACTACTAATATTGTACTATAAGATACAAATAATATGAAGGAAGCTATTGATATGCATGATATCAGTTGGTATACATTCAGTAGATGACCATTACAATTTTGTTTTGTTTTCCTAATTTAAGGATACGTCAGTTCAGCAAGCAACCAGTAATAACCACAAAGGTCTCGAAGAGTATAATCCATTTGAAGAAAGTAACAAACAAACATTAACAGTAAGTGTCTATTATATTCATTCATTTTAATTCAATCTAATTTATTTGCTTATTTATTTGTCATTTATTAATTTATGCTATTGTATTTTAATATGTATTTTGTACTGTAATTAGCATTTTTTAAGCAGTACCATCATAATAATATAATAATAATAATAATATAGAAATTTATATAGCGCCTTTTACCAAAGGATACAAGGCGCTTAAAAAAAGGTTTATTGTAAGAAAAAGGATTATTTAGGAAATAAGTGTGCTATTAAGAGTTTTTTTAAAGACTTGAATACTACAAGCATTTCGGATGGAAACAGGAAGAATATTCCACGGTTTTGGAGCAGAGGAAGAGAAAGATTTATCACCAACAATTTTGTTGGATCTGGGAACAAAAAGACAGGAACCAGAAACAGAACGGAGAGAATATGAAGAAGTGTGGATATTGGTGGAGCGCTGTGTGCGCTCTCAACCAATGTTCCGCGAAATTTTTACTTCACGGCCTATTTACGATTCTAGGCACCAATCCGCGGCCCAGCAGCCCAGCCGCGCCAGGGACCAACATACCAAAACCTGGCAAGAACTTTTGGTCATAAAGCTTCCGTGTATAGGCCTATACAATCTTTTGACATCATTATCTGTTTTCTCAGTAATAAAATGTCATTGTATACAACTTAGATATTATTTTATTAAATAAATAATAACGTAGAATAGATTTGTGTTTCCCTTCCCCCCCCTCCCACCGACAATTTTTGATTGTTTTTTTTTTTCTACCATGATTCAACCAAACACAGTTCAGCCACACACGTCATAGCTTTCTCCATCTTCCAAAAACTTTTACGCACACTCTGATACTCCGCAACTTTGAAATACTACACCTTACTATACAGGTATTATGTTTAAAATATCCACATGGGCATTCGGTTATTAAGAAATGTGTGGTGTTGTTTACTGTAGTGATCTTTCTAGGACAGGTCTTGTATTAATTTTTATCTTTAGCTCATGACTCATCCCATCATTCCTCCATACCGGATTTACTCTATCTTACAGGGTTAATACTAGACGATAACATAGTGTCTAGCTCCCAAGGGGGCATAGACACAAAAACCGCTTATAACTCAAATAGCACACATCATCTCTGGCACTTCAACAGCGTGTCCAAGCAATGCATTCGCTGTAACAATGAAGCAGCTTTATTAAAAACTATTTTCATAATTTTTTTTTTTTTTTTTGGGGTTTGTTTTTTTTTTTTTCAATTTCCGGACGGAAAAAAAAATGTTTTGTGGCCCAAATTTTCGCCGCGGACCATAGTTTGTGGAACGTCGCTCTAAGCCATGGAGATTTTTATGTCAGTCTGTCAGTTCTATCGGTGCATACCCTGTATTTCAAGTGGTTGGCCAAAGTAATAGTTATTTGCAAAATGTCTTTGAGAAGATGGATATTTTAGGCATTGGTCATATGTTCTAGATATGCAGTTAATTAATAATACTTATACTGTAGTAGTTTGATGTTCACATCATTCCACAAGAACAGAAACTGGAAATGAGTCCTTTAAGTGTGTACACAAGCTAGATGTTAAGGCTGTAGTAAGCGGTGCACCTGTGGCCACTTGACATTGTAGATGTCCTTGTGAAAAACACTTAATCAAATGTATCTCTTATCTACTGTATATAGACCCAATGAGAGGTGCTATATTCCATTAATAAAAAATTCACTTAAAATATATTATTTTTATGTTTTATTACAGCAACCAACTAGGCCTGCAACAGCTCCCAAGCAGCCAGATCAGCAGCCAGCTGTCCTACAACCCACAGGGCCACCTCCTCCTTACACACAATCTGCTGCTCAACCAGTAAGTAATCATCTACTTCTTCAAGTACCTATGTTTACACGGTTGTGGTGGTGATGCCATCTCAACATTGAAAATGCGCATTTACCATCTTTTTATGCTCGCGGTTTGTTTCAATTTATTAATGCCATTTCTGGTCACCGTCTCATTTTGTTAACAGAAGGCTTGTTTGTTTATTTAATTATTTAATTTTTTGTTTGTGGTTTGAATACTGTCAGCGCCTTGACAATTTTTTTGCGGAAGGCGCTCTACAAGTATACTACCACTACCATATATTTCATATTTTAAGTGATATTTATGAAGTTTGCATCTCAATGTGCTTTCAGTACTTTCCGTGCTAATGAAGGAAATATTTTTATAGTAATGTGTTACTTTCAGGTTGGAAATACATGATATGATAATTTAAATCTATGACTTAAGATTGGAATTATTTCCTTTGCAGTGATATTCAAGTCATAGTAACTTAGGATCCAGAATAATAAAGTTGCCATCTTAAGCACCACCATCTTAATTTTAATTATTTTTCATTTGTCTTTCCTCATATTCAAATTGTTTTTACATGTTCTTTTCCCTCCATTTGTAGGCTGTTCAAGCAGGTCATGAGGATTTAATAAAGCGGCAAGAGGAACTAGAACGCAAAGCAGCTGAACTACAAAGACGAGAACAGCAGATAAATAATGCTCAATATAATAGTATGTAACACAAAACCATCGTAGAGTATTAAGCTTTATCCATGCTATCAAATTTTATGTGATAAATACCTTTGATTTGCCCATACCTAGGTGTGGTATGATATTACCATGCCCATATATAGATATGATATGACATCATTATGGCCATATATGGGTAGTCCACATAAATTTGTCACATAAAACTTTATAGTGTGAATGCAAATTGAAGCCAACTGTTTGATGTTAAAGATGAAGAAAGACTATCATCGCTGTCAAGATGAACGTACTGTACATACACACAAACGGCATACAGAGACACACACATCCCCATACATATACACACACACACACGTATAGTAATCTAGGCGAGACCTAGACATACACAAATACCACTTACTTCAGGATGTTTTGAGCCTTGCAGGAACGCATCCCCATACATACACACACACACACGTATAGTAATCTAGGCGAGACCTAGACATACACAAATACCACTTACTGTACTTCAGGATGTTTTGAGCCTTGCAGGATTTTCTGTGTATTTTGCTCATAGAAATCAAAATATAAGATAGGGAATTTTTTATTTCCCTTATCTACCTTTAGTACTTCTTATTATGTATACTTATTCTGGCTTATTTATTCAAAAGCCAAATTTTTGCCTTGAAGAATTGTGTCGCCAACAAGGGTATTGTCTCTTCATTTTGTCTTTTTGTGTATATTTTAACATATTTGGCGAAATAAAATAAATGAAATATGTTAAAAAAAGGCATTTTGTAGTATTTGAACCTAGGACCTTGTAATAAGAAGATGGGCACCTTAACCGCCAAACCAGAAACCCACTGATGATAATATATTGGTTATTTTTTTATCTTGTAGCTCGGCAAAATAACTGGCCACCCTTGCCATCATGGTTACACGTACAGCCATGCTTCTATCAAGATTTTTCCGTAGACATCCCATTGGATTTCCAGCGTACAGTGAAAATGGGATACTACCTGTGGATGTGTAAGTATAAAGTCTAGAGTATCAGGAGCTTAAATCTGGAGGTTAATTATACTGTCTATTGTAAAGTCTAAACAATTTCCCAAGCATTGAATGGAAACATGAATTGTTTATTTAAAAGAATCATAGTTATTCACTCGTATTGAAACAAATTCAGATATCACTGGCTTGCAGACTTTTTTTAATATAAAAGTTGTTAAAATGATCTGTTATTCAATTTAAAGATATATGCGAAAGTCTAATAACTGAAATATACAGAGTAAACTTTTTGCAATTAACACACACAGAGAGTGTCTACTAAATTTAAGTTTCAAGTAGCTACTTCAGCTCCTCACTTGATTTCATGACTTATGTTTCAATTGAAGTGCAAGGCTAAAAATGTTTCCCACGAATAAAATATACGAGTGGTACTGGGTAAAGACCACTTGATTTCTTGCTTCGAACAAGGTATCCATTCGTAGAAGTCTTATAAAAAATAAGCCTATCCAAGTGAACATTAAAGGGACTGGAACCAGGACATACCTTCGACTTTAAATTTACAAAGATTGGAAAATGTTAAATACAGACACAATGTATACATAATAAGCCTTAAAATGTAAAAAAATGTAATTTGCAAATAATTTAATGAATAGGAATGTATGATGTAATTAAACTGTTAATTATAAAAAATAACATAAATTATAAAAAAAATAAAGGAAGAAGGAAGATAGGAAAGAAACTTGGAGTGGCTGATATATTTACCGAAAATATTTTTGTAGCAGATTTTGGAACCTAATTATCAGAGGTCAAGGTGTGAAGCCTACAGTACACATTTCATAATTTAACATCTGTATATTAAATTAATCAGTACACTTTCAACAAAAAGTAGTGGATTGACTAATATACCTCCAATCTCTCCCTCTGATTCACAAATTGGGGTGGAGTTAAAAAGCTTAGTGGTTAAGATGCTTGTCTTCTAAATCCAGTGCCCTGGGTTCGATTCCTGTCACAGCAGGACATTTTCTCATGACTAAAACCAACTCCACTACCTAGGCCTCAATAGTTCAATTCAATTCTTTTATTAATCATCAGAAAACATACTTTATAAAGCATCATTCCATCCTGTAAGTGGCAAGTGTACTTGCTGTTGGATTTGAAGGGGGAAAAAAATAATATAAAAGTATAAATCAAATATTATTGTGTAATTTTTCAGGTTACAGTGTCCTGTTGTTTGTGAATGTTATATTAGCAATTGGCTACATCAGTACAGGAATAGGTCATGGTGGACTATGTTTTGGCTTGGCTCTATTTTTCTGCGTACTTTTTAATCCTTGTTCTTATGTGTGTTGGTTTAGGCCCTTATACAAGGCATTTAGGTGAGAATAGCCATCAACTATCCATGCATCGTCCAGCCATGATTCAACCTTGCTTATTATTGTGTGTCAGCCATTTTTATTTTTTATTTGAAAAGAGTAATGATTTCAGATCATTAAAATAGATCATCATGCATAAGTCAACAGTCATGTCAAGAAAATAGTCATAAGTCAACAGTCATAGCATATGTCTACAATTCTAGTATAAGGCAACGGTCATACTGTATCAAGTCAACAGCCATACATTGAATCATCACTCATAGCCTAAGTTAACAGTCGATAGACATACAAGTGTCAATTCATAGCAAATGTTAACAATATTAGCATACATCAACATTTAGAACATTAAACAGTAAACCTAGTCAACAGTCATCATAAGTCAGCGGTCATATGTCAAAAGTCATAACGTACATCAACAATCATAGTAGTCATAACATGATGACAGTTATGGCATCAGATAAGTGTTATATCATAAGTCTCAGAAGTATAGCATTTTTTAAGTGCAGTCATATCATAAATTAACAGTCATACCAAGGACTTATAACTGTTACCAGGATAGGAAGCTGGCTGGTTTAAGCCGTCTAACTGGAATTAGCCTTATGTGTGGTATTGTTATGCTAATGAGCCAGATAAGCACAATCTGCACATGCTCAGAAAAACAAAACTTTCCTTAGCCACACTGCGGCCTACACTGCTTATCGGCTTGGCGTACAGCTAGGCATAGCCGAGAATTACGGTACGGTAAAACAAAGCAAAATAAGGGTACTAATTTCATTTGGCATACAAATCAATCATACTTACACACAAACTAAATCTTAAAAACAAACTAATCTACCAATAAAATCACCTGCTAGTCTTTAGGTCTTTACCATTAAGTCAATAGCCATACCATGAATTCATTAGTCAATCATTTCATTTCTCAATTTCATTTCAGTGTATGTATTAACTCTATTTTTGAACTTGATTGGAGCCATGGCTTACCTTTTTTCAAAATCTGGCGGCAATAAAGCCACTACATTTGGTCTTGCGATAGTTTGGTTTGTAGCTTTCAGTCCATGTTCATTTATCTGCTGGTATAGACCCATCTACAAGGCTTTCAGGTAATATTCATGTATAAGTTGTTATTCATTCATTGTATATTTATCATTCTCATCCAAATGATCATCCAATTGCTATAGGGGATACAAGAATGAATTGTTAAATGTTATATAAGAATGAATTGTTAAATGGTAGTCAATGAAAATTTGATAAAATGGCATTAATGCTAACAGTAACATTAGTAGAAAATTATCTGCTTTGTTGAACCAGTTAGTTGCTTTACCTTAAGTAGCAACAGTTTCAGCAACTGCTTTAGTCTCTTCAGGCTAATGAACCCTTGTACTTGTAAAATCTCATGATTGCTTATTAAAAGTCATTAAAAGAAATTATTTTACACTTGCCAAACACTAAATGTATATGCACATCTATATTTGACAAACTCTGTTTACACTAAATATTTCCATTCTGATTTTTTATGTGTGATATGTGACATGGTTCTTTTTTCTTTCTTATAGGAGTGACAGTTCCTTCAATTTCTTTATGTTTTTCTTCATATTCTTCTGCCAGTTTTGTGCAAATGTTATACAAGCCATTGGCCTAGATGGATGGGGCACATGGTATGTACTGTTCCATTTTCAAAATACATGATAAATTTTCTAGTATAATAAAATATTTATAAGTAACTATATTCTTCAGTAATAAAACTATTTTATTTTATTTTATTTTTATTAGGCCAAAAAAATAAATTGTTTTTAAATACTTAGATGGAATAAAAATAGCCCACAAAGGCATAGAATGGCAATATCTTACATCAGACAACTTTGTCTGATACTAATTTGTAGGGCATCTGGCAAAAAATTAAAATAAATTCACTCACATTTTTTTTAAATTTGTACAGAAAAAAGGCTAAAAAAAAACTTTTTTAAGTTTTTTTGTTTTTCCACCCCTATTTTTTTCAGTGAGTTAGGGCCAGGTGGATGAGGGCAAACAAACAATTTTTTATTTTTTTTTTTTGCCTTATCGAAGAATATTGATATAATTACAGTACTTCGAAAACTGATGAAATCATACAATGATTATACTTGATGATTACCAATGATATAAAATTTTAACTGATATATCTGCATTTTGAAGACCAGAAAATAATGAAAATTAACATCTTGATTGATTAATTGATTCATTGTTTAATTGATATTTTTTGTATGGGAATAGCAAATGATGTATATTAACTTATGATAATATGTGGCAAAGACAAGCCAAACCAGTCACTTGTCGCAAAAATCGATTTTGAGTTATTAATACAGTGTTAGAGAGTAAAATAATAGCTATAAAATGGTAAAAAAATCATTAAAATCAGACATTTCCTTATGAAGTTGCAAGCGTTTAATCACACAGCTGTTTAAAGAACAATATATGAGAAATCAGCCTTCAAAGTTTATGATTTCAGGCATTTCTCATGCAGAAACTATCTTTAAATCCTTAAAAAGTGTTGTTTTAACATTGAAAATGGGGAAAATAACAGCATAGAATGATGTATAGATATATAAAGGTTAGTTTAGTGCAATAAAATAGATTTTTAAAAATTTGACAATCCAGCATGTTTTGGCCATTTTCTCTGTAACACGATTTGCGACGAGTGACTGGTTTGGCTTGTCTTTGCCACATATCATCTCAGTTTCTATAATGATAATAATGTATGCAAAATACTGAATTTTTAATTTTAGAAATTATGATGTACTAGGTGTAGGTATAATTAAATTTTTTTAATGTTTACTTTTAAATATATTTCTGTAAATGATCATATTAATTATGATACCATTTTTAATGTTCTTTATCACAAATTTTTATGATTTGGGAAAAAATGTTGTGACTTTGATATCTGCATTTGGATAATGTGTGTATGTATAATGTCTAATTATTTCTCTGTTATATATCAAAGATATTAGAAATACAAGATAGAACACTCGCATAGCAAAAGTGAGGCTGATATACGTCACATCTTTTATGCAAATCCAGTCGTAAGCGGCGCCCTTCAGTTTTCAATATAGCAATTTACACACGTTTATCCAGTTCACATCCAGACGTACCGGGCGCCCTTCTCTTTCCGCTAATATCCACTAATGGTGGAAACTTTATCACTAATCACAATCCGGTCATACGATTCTACACTTTCGTGTTCTGTTATTTTATTCTCTTGATTTATTTATGCCTACTTGTTTGTATCTTATGGGAGGCAACAATGTGTACCTCCACCAAACGGGCTGCCAAAAGAGGTTATGTATTCACCTGGGTGTTCACCGTGATGTAAATTTGGCAGATTTTTTTTAGAACCAGCCATACGCGGCGCCTCATTGTTTGTATTCCCACCATGCATTTCGGTGGAACACTTTTTTCTGTGGAGAATTCTCTTGTGTTTTAATTATCTTTAGTTGTATCAACAGGTAAAATTGAGGATCAAACTAAATGATATTTCTTTGATGAATAACTTTCTTTTTTTAAAGGAATCTCCTTTCCGTCACTGAACCGTTGTACCTTTATCCTATGACTTTTCAGGCTTTACTTGCCTATTGAGAACTGGTGCACATGAATGACCAGAACAGTTGAATTCTTCTGTGCCATATGATATATGTGTATTTCTTAATTATCTAGGCCAGTTTTACTTCATTGGAATTGATATAGAAATTGTCTATTTTACCATCAGACTCAATATCAGTGAAATAACAGAAGAGATATTATTGGGGTTGGTGATCATTTTCCAGAGATTGTTCATAAAGAACCTTTGTTGTGTAATTTTTGATGCAATAAAATTCTTCTGTCTCACACAGTGGGTTTATCAACGGCATCCGCGTCATCACTAATGCTGAAAATGCTGGGACAAAGGTCATCGGTGCTTTGATGATAGTAATGGGTGGCATATGGGCATTGCTTGCTGCTGTCAATGTTATATATTTGAAGAAGGTGATGAAAATCATCCATAGATCATTTGATAGTCATTCCTACACACATCATCAATTAGTATTGGATAGTTGCAATGATTTCATCATCATTAATGTAGTCATGTGACTCAATTTTGGTATCTGTCATCCGAAAGTCATTTTCTCTGCTATTTTACAACCTAGTTTACATAACATGCCAAGGATTAATTGCAGTTTATAAGTACTTCTGCCATTTTATAACCGTATTAAAGTCAGTACATCTCAGCATGTTGATGCATATTTTCAATCATTTGTGGCATCTGTATTTTAATCAGTGCACTCCATGAAACAGTTGCTGGTACAGGCCTCATGATATCACTTTTTGAGCATTTTACAACCCTGTTGAAAGTCTTTATATTTCATAATGTTCATCTGAAAAATCTTCATTTTGAAATTTTCTTTTACTGCCCATTTGCAACCTTCTTAAAATGGTCAGTGGTTGATGTAAGTTTCAGCCATTCAATAACTCCATTATTGTGATTTTTAAAGCCAATTGTAACCCACTTATGCCACAATGTATTCAAATTTTTTATTTATTTGCAACATTTAGCAGAAATTAGCCCAAAAACTATGTTCCTGCTCATTTGATGGCCTTCTCCATCACCATTGCTAGACTTTCCTCAGTGACTAACTTGTTCTGAATCTGGTTATTGGTCAAATAGTTGGCTTAGTTGACATTTTAGTAGGGTGGGTCTATTTCTTGAAATGTTAATATCCTGATGACCTCGCTATAGATTTTATATTTTTTAGCTGAAGTATTGTGTATTGTTATAAGCTGTAGTGCATTGAGACACAACAGCACACACTGTACAGTACCAGTAAAGTTTAATAGTGGGATAGCTAAATTTAATTAAAAACGTATTGCAAATTGTTTTAATAAAATTTGTTGTTATAATTTTTCTTCTGATCATTCTGCCACCATTGGTTTACCATCTATACGTTGTGAATGGCCCTGTTGGGTTTTCTAATAGCCCCTTGAGAGTAACAACAGTACTTTCCTTCAGTTCATGCTGCATTGCGAATAATTTAAACATTTTAATATTTTCAAATTTGTATGGTTCCTATGCTGATTGCTTTTGCTATTTTGTAACTTTGAACATAGATATATTTATTTCATGTATTTTACTCCAAATCAGTGGAGAAACAGCAGTTTAGTTTGTTTTTGTTTGTTTTTTGTTCCATCTCTGATTTTAGATCTGTTGTAATTTTTATTGTTTGTATTGTTATTGTTTTATTTGAAAAAATAAATGAAATGAAATTAGTTGATGCTGATATGCAAGTTTTTTAACAGTCATTTTCCGATTTTCACTAAACAGTGCTTAGAATCCAGATGGAAAAACTATTATCTTCAACTTGTTACCTGTCTTTCTGTTGATCAAGATTTACTCAATACTTGTCATTAATTTCATTTCTTATATTTCTCCTTTATTTACACCATTTTTAATTTAGCGGCTGGATAGTAACAATTCAAGTGTTATCTTCTGACAATGACAGCTTTGGCAAAGCCTCGCGCCTAGCCGTCGGTTTTATTATGATGGCCGTAGCTATACTTTTCACTGCTTTGGCTACGTTAAATCTTTTATACATCAAGAAGGTATTTCATCAAATTGTACTCTAACCAAAATGTTTTTTGTTTAAAAATATTACACATTTCTATCTTTGCATTTCCACGTTTACAAATGGTGTTAATAAAAACTGTCATTGTTACAACTGATTTCATGATATACCTCTTATTTTTCATAATAATCCATAAATATTTCAATAAATATAATTCATTAATAAACATAGTTTATGTAATTCATTTGTATATATGATATATTCCTATCACGTGCAATTTGTTATGCAGAATGTCTTTTCATCATGCATATGCTTATTGAGTGTTTATTACCATGACAGCATTATACATTTGCATTAGTTAAATGTTTGTTACCATGACAGTATTTATTGAAACCAACTTTTTGCAATTTTTGTTTTGCTCTAACCATTGTTTGCTTAACATTGCTGACACTTTCTTTTCATATCAACCCCGTCTTCTGCTCATACATATCTGTCATGTGTCGTATTACTACATCCGTATTGCTACATCCACACTTCTACATCCATATTGCTACATCCTAGCGGCTGGATCGTTTGCCTTAAAGTGTTATCCTATTCTGGAGGTAGTATGTCCAGTGCTCAGCGTATATCCATTGGAATTATAATGATGATAGTCGCAATCCTGTTTACCGCACTCGCTACATTAAATCTATTATTCCTTAAAAAGGTATGGCAAATATTGAAAGACAAAAACACAACACCATCAATCTTAATTTCAACTTAATTTAAACCTTCATTTTTTTTTAATTCTAAATTTGTCATAAAAAAAATCTTTTGGATAGAATAACATTCTGGTTTCTAAATTTAAGTTAATTATTGCCCTTAATGTAAAGAAACTTTGCAAATATTAGTAGATAAGTATATGGCAGCACTAAAAAATTAAATTACCACTAATTTGCACATTAATTTACAGCTTGACACATGCAACCAATAATGTTTATTTATTTATTTTTTTTTTTTTATATATATAATTTTACATGTTTGTTCATGACCAGGGGTTAATGGTAAATTTTAAATAATAATCATAATAGTCTAAATATTTAAATATATTAGAATGCCATTTGGTGTTTATGGTATTTAATTTCTAATTTCATTTACCTGGAGTCAGATCCTGTGACACTAGAACTGTGTCTAAAGACTGATGTAATTCCTCTCCTAAAATGTATGAAGAGATTTAGTTTATAGAGCATCGTTCAATCCTGTAATTGGCAAACGTAATTATTACTGTAGGACATGATTATTAAGTTTTTTTTTTACAATATGTCAATCAAAACTAAAATATTATATTATATAAAATTAAGTGTTGCTTGGTATTTAAGATGCTAGCTTTCCAATCCCAGCAGGGGCAGATCCAGTGATGTCTGGAAGGAGGGTCGACAGAGGGGCTGTTTGAGATATAACACCACCGTAGGGGATCCGGGGACATTCCGCTGCAAACTTTTGGGCAGTAAATTTTTTCTTTTTATTTCTTTCTTTCTTTTGTTTTTTTTTTTGTTTTTTAACTTTCCAAGGGGGTGGGGGTGCCAGAGCTGGCCTGCCCCCCCCCCTCTCCCCAAATCTGCCCCTGCTAATGGTGGCAGGTTCAAATTCTGTTGCTTCAGGGTTTATTCCGTTTTATATTTGGGTATAGAAATATTTTATTGACTGCTTATTTTCAAATTCATTAAATAATTTTAGCTGAGATAAATACGATTAGAACTCTAATGTGTACCGGGAAAATAAAAAGATTAAACATTTAACAGTTAATAATATAATGCCACATTATATCTGAAAATTGAACTTTTATATTCACAAGTCATATTATTTATAAAAATACATAGCAGTTAACACACTAATTGCTTTCAAATACAAGTGCATGTTTTGAAGCCAAAGTCTGCAGATTGGAATGTAAGAATGAGATCTAATGTATATCAGGATGTGATGAGTTGAATAGACATTGGTTTTATTGCTTCAGTAGTGAAGCATAGTCTATGCATAGATGTGCAATATAAGTTATTAATTGTAAATATTATTTTAGTAAAACTGTGGGTATGCCATTGGGTCTCCACCTTGCTTCAAGATTTTCAAGAGCTTTGTGCAAAATTTCATTCTTATTCTTTTATCAGAGTGTTCTCTCTATAAAACCGAAAGGTTTACTGATTAATCTCAGATAAGATAGTATATTACATACTTCAAGTATCGAAATACACGTCATCTTGTTGGGATTCAATATTTCGACATTAATTGTCATCATCAGAAATTCCCGTTGGTATAATTAATGTCCAAATATTGAATCCCAACACAATGCTGTGCATTTTTATACTTGGAGTATGTATTAATACTATCTTGTTCTCTCTATTATTAAAATAGCGAATATATGTAGTACATGTACTATTATATAATCTGCTAGACTTTGGCTTTAAAAATATAAAATTCCAATGCATTAAAAACGTAAAGCAGACCATACCGATCATTACTGACATGTCTTTACCACACTATATTTCCCCACAGGTACACTCGTTGTACCGAAGCACAGGTGCAAGTTTCCAGAAGGCTCAAGAAGAATTCGCTCATGGAGTCGTAACCAACCCAGGAGTTCAGACGGCAACCAAAGAAGCAGCAAAAGGTGCAGCTAGTGGTGTGGCTGCTGGTATGTTCTCTGGTGGCAGTACCAGCAATAACCAAATGTAATAATATATTCTAATATTCAGTTGGAAACATGAAACAGACTTATTTAGACCAAGAAATGGCAGTGTTGAAAACTGGGCTGTGTGTCAGGTCTGTACAGTTAGTGGTGGTGGTGGTTATACAGTATATAGAATACAAAGTAAATTCTTTTTCTCTTGTGGAGGTAATAAAATGATGATAATGAAAGTCTTGTGTATTCAAGTGAAATAGTTTCCAGACATTCATTTGGCATCTCCCCCACCCCCTCCCACAAACGTAGATTTTTACCATTGATTCACTAATAAGTAAAGGGGTGTATTATATATCGAGTATGGTGTTTGAAATTGTTGTATGTTTTTAATGTTGACTATTCTTCCCTTGTAAATTTAGACACACTTGAAACTGATATTCCAAAGAGAGGTTTTTGGTGTTAATTTGTGTTCTCTTGCATTTCTGGAAAGTTGAAAAATAGGTTTTTTTTGCAATTATGTTTCTGGTTTTAATTGAAAGCAATATTAGTCAAGGGTACTGCAGCTCTAATCTGTATACTTAAAATATTAGAGGGCTAACTGTAGAGTGTTGAACTGCCATGACATGATCCATTCATACAATCCTGGTTGGTGGCGCTCTGTGAGTATGTGGCCATTTTTGAAGTACACAAATGCTCCTTCACATCTCGGCTACATAGCATTGCAGTACTTGTATATCAATTCTGTATGTTATTTTCTGAGCATGTGTAGAGGAAACATTGATGTGCGTTTCTTGGGTGTATTAAACCGTGCACTCACTGTGGTCAACGGTTGTCGGCCGACGCGATTTTTTTTTTGATAATCTGTTCAGACTGCAACCGACAATCAGCAGACGGCCTCACGTGGTCTAGCGCTCACAGGGAGTGGAGTTGGATTTGATGTGCGACCGTCGCAAGACACAGCGAGTGCCCGGCCTTAGGGATACATAAGCTCATCACTTCCCTGTCAGTGTGGTACTGTCCATTGAAAACAAACTTCCGATTGGTTTACAACAAACACAGACTTATGGCAATAATGTCAAGTTGTATATCCAGAATTCTTTAGTTATTTCACCTCTTAATAAATTTAGAGCCCTTAATAAATGGATTTTGATTCAGGAAGAACAATTATCCATTTTTTAGGTAACTTTTCTGTATTATTTTTCTGTATTATTTTTTCTTTTCTATATTATTGTTAGGTTCGACCTCCATGTGTTATTAAAGAATGCAATGTGTATTTGATTATTCGGTTTGTAACCCTTACTATTTGTTTCATAATATAGATATCAAGATGAATTCATTTTTAAAATTAAGTTATGATTTCATAAATAAATTTGTGAGAATTATAGTTGAATTATCAACAAATGCTTATTCTGATCATTTGGATTAATGTTTTATTAGTAAATTATATTTCAAAAGAAATATGGGGTTTTTTTTGGAATCTCCTTTTACGTATATATTTAATGGTTTCTCCTAAGAGAATGCCATTTTATATTATATATATATAAATATATTTATATAATCTGTAGTAATATCGTTCATGCAATTACCTGTACATAGTAAAAATTCTGAATCCTATAGGATATTATGAGATTTAATCGGACAAAAAGAAATTATTTGTTGAAAATAGTACAAAATTATTTAATATTTCAGAGACACATAGCAACATCCTTTTATTTGACCTATCCAGTGTACTATAGATTTCAATATATTCCATTGGCCAATCTGTCAGTGTTGAACAACGTATTGATCGAAATGTACAATGTGATTGGTCAGTATATAACCGTCATTTGATTTTACTTTGTACTAAAGATTTGATTTGTTGATTTACTTTTTGTTTGCCAATGAACATTTAAAGCATGATACCAGTTCCTAATCTACAGAATATAAGTATCGGAATAAAAATAACAACGTATGTATGTATGTATGTTAGTTAAAAATGTTCATATTCTTGCTCATAATTTTTTGTTTGAGTTTTTGTTGTTAAGGCTTTATGTATTTAATGTATGTTTGGATTTGCACACTTTAAATACATCGCATCACATATCAAAGAAAATTTAACACTCTATTAAAGAAATGAGGATCTTTTTAGATTTATAAATGTGTACATACAATAAATACACTTAATTATATTGTATGTATACACTATAACGATAATTCATACATGTATTGTTTTTATTATGGTGTTTATTTAAATATATGTACTGTATATAGATGTAAGGATACCCGTGTGAATTAAGAAATTGTTATTATTGGTTTAACATTTATTATGTTGAAAGTATGAAAGTAAAAAAAAGAATTATTGTAATTTATTTCTATATCTGTAAATCAACAACCTGATTATTATTGGTAGTGACGGTTAAATATTGCTTATTGAGTACTGATAATTATTGATTAATTACTAGTGATTGATTTATTGATTATCAGTAATTTATTATTGATATTTAATTGCTAGTCATTTTGATTGAGTTCTAGTAATTAATTATCAGTAATTCATCATCAGTAATATAAATGACTTACTAATTAATTTTCAATAATTGATTATTAGTAATTGGTCATCATAAATCAACTATTACTGATTGAGCATTAATAAATGATTATTAAATTATTAATTGGTTATTATTGTTCAGTTATTGATAATTGATTATCAGCCATAGTTTATCTCAACTCTGTCCCATGTTTAAACCATTTTCTTTATAATATTTTAAACATAAAATATATGAAAGTATTAATAATGATAATTAGACTAAAGTAACTACTGAAAAGACAAGTAGTTAAAGTAAAGCTAAACAATCCAGATTGACCAAGTATATAGCATTCCATTTTACAGTTCAGTATGAAATAAAACTTGGTTATGTCTGGTGTTAATTTAATGTCCCAAAAGTAGATTGAGAATTCCAATAGAGTGTTAGCCCAATTTATCCCACCCACATGCCCCAGAGTTTCCCATGCTTCTGTGCACTTCCCCCTTCTCCTTTTACTCTGTTATCACAGGTATACCAGATTTATCTAAAGTAGACTTGTAGCTTGGTGGTTAAGATGTTCGGAGTCCAATCCTAGGGCCTTGTGTCCAATACCTGTTAAAACTAGGATATTATTTTTTCTCAACTCAAAAGATCACCTCTATTAATTCTACGCATAAAATTCTCACTGACTGGATTAGAATAATATCTGTTAATATAAAATTTATGAAAATCTCTTTCAAATTGGGGGTACTGTTTTTATTTTGGAGGTATGAACAAAAATAGCTCCAGGTTGTATTATAGTTAGTTTGTTTCTACTTAATTTGGCAAAAAATGTAATGAAAAGAATGAACTGGATTAAATATCAATTATATTCTTTACATCCAATTATACAAATTATTCAATTTGCATAATTAAAAAGCCCATTCGTGTCACAATCGATATATACATAAGTAATTTTATCTTGAAAATTTGATTCACTTTGCATGTTTACATTTGGTAATGGTTGACCGTCATTGTAAATTATATCTGGACAGATAATAATCATTAATATTATATATGGTATAATAATTGGTAATAGGCAAGTAATGGAACATTATAGGATCTGTAAGTTTAAGACTAATTAAAAAGAGACAAAATAATATACTTTGGACATACATTGTTTACCACAGTGTTTTATACAATAGATTAAATATTCCAGAATATTTTCATTGAACATTTATTATAACTTAAAATATGTGTTTATTTCTATTTCATTCCAAAGCTAACTAGAATAGTTTAAAACTACAACTAAAGTGTTAAACTTATTTGACATACACCTCAATAAAAAGGTCTGATCAACGTATATAGAAGACAAATAAAAAGAGATTAAAAGAGAGAAAAGGGGAAAACCGATAACTGTAATCTACACCATGCCTATGTATGCCATACACTAGGCAGAATTACTAGATCAAATTGGTTTAACCAAACAATGGACAAAATTACCCAACCTACTCTAATCTGTCCCAACATGCAGTGTGGTAAACAATCAATTTCATGAATACCTAGTAGTATAAGTAATTCCTAGACACACTTGTACAGTGATCATCTATCAAATTGTAACAATACTAATTTATATATGTAGAGCAAAAAACATCACAGTATAGGCCTGATTTATATAAGTTTGGGTAGACAATGTATTGTATTTTAGAGATGATAGTCACACAAATAGTTGGTAAGTCCCAGAAATGGTTGAAAACTTAAGAACTTCATCTGCCTCACCCTTTCCAATCTTTCCTTCCCGTATTACTTGCCTTCGTTCCCTGTCCCTCTTTCACTGCCCTCATCATATTCCCTCTTCCCTTGCCGTGTTCCCCTGTCCTATTCTCTTACCCTCTTAATGTCTGTGTTAATAAGTGAGGTTTTTTTTTCTTATTTCCTTGGTGGATAATGATACCTTGAGGATGTTTTATTTTGTGGTGAAATTTCTGGTTTATTGTATCCCCAGTTCGAAAGAGATCAAATCATAAATTATATATTTAAAATCTTAACACCACTTCAGATTTAATTGAAACTTCAATTTACATAATTAAAACATAATTGTACCTGCTATTACGTATTTCTTGAACAGTTTCATGTTATTGTTATAATATTTTATAGGCCTATTATTTAATTGTTCTTAAGCCTACAATTTTTATTATTATCAGTATTATACTATTGTTATTATTATTATTTTGTGGTTAATCTATTTTGGGTTCATTCCATACCACCTGTGGTTTAGTAATGTTAAATCATTCCCACCTTCGTGGTAGTAATTCTATGTTTCTACCGCTGTAGTAATTTAATGGTTCTACCTTATTAATTCTATCGTCCTACCTTCCATGATTATATCAATATAGAAATTCCATGCCTTTCCCCCAGCCCTGTATGTATCATTGATTTTACTCTGGTAATTTTATGGGCTCTTAATAAATGCATCCAAATAAAGGTTCAGTCCCTGAAATGAAATTGTGTAATAGTTCATGGTTTCACACCTTAGTTTATCCACTACTGCTGTTAACCAAGGAAAGAATTTTAAATTGATATTTAAAGTGGAGCCAGGCTTTCCACAAATATTGTATCAGAGTAATTAGTAGAATTGTGTTAATATATACAGTATATATAATAATCTAGTTGTCAAATCCCCATTTATAGCAGTCACTACGAACAGAGTTGTAAAATTAATCCGAAGTAATACATTGGCTAACCAAACAACCAGAAGCATATAAATAATGATGATAAATGGTATTGCCATAACAAATAATACAGTATACATGGCTTGGTACTGTTGTGGTTATAAATCATTGTATGTTATACATAATTATGGCAAATTCCTTGTTAATCTCTGGAAGTTAGGTAGTCATTTGTTGGACAAAGTATATCAGTTGTTACCCTAGCTTACCAATTTATGCGTTGCTTGAATATTAATGTAAATTTCTTTTCTCAGTTGCTATTAGAATCAATCTTTATTCTTTAAGTAACTCAGTGTTTTTAGTCTGAGAAATAAAGAATCATTTAACAGCTATGGAATAAGGTTCATGTGCATATATTTGTTGTGGTAGTGTACTAATAACTTCTTTATTCCCATCCAAATAGACAGGGGTCCACGACAGGGCTGGGTTAAAGAACTGTGGGGCCTGGGGCTGTAATTGCAAGTGGGCTAAAACATAAATCCAGATTTTCAGTGATTTTTCCTGGGGTTTGGGGCATATTTTTCCCCACTGTGGGCTGGGCTGGCCCACCCCCAAAATCCCCCAGTTACAGTAATCTTGCCCAGGTCCACGATTCTCAACAGGGTGGTCAACACCCCCTCAGCTGTACCATGTTTCAAAACTTTCCCTAAAATGGCATTTTCAAACAGCTTGGAAAAAGTCACATTTGGGAGATCTGGCTAAATAAGCTTTCTTAACAATTCAGATTTTATTGTTGTGCACATGGTGATGCCCACCATCACCGATTTCTCTGTGAAACAACTGATAAACATGTAAATATTATGAATTTGTGGAAGATGGGTAATTTTCTCAAAGATTCGTGTACGCTTGCGGGAGGCCCTCCCCACTTCCGGCCGACTCCTGTGATGTGGGGGACTTGGGACCCTTGAAACTAATGTTTTTTTATAGCAGTGTTTCCCAACTGGACCCCGGGGGTTTGTGCTGTCACTGCCTACAAATAAGCAGCTTATTGAGCAAAGGAGCTGATTCTTATCAGTATTACATCAATAGCTTCTGCCTCTACCTACTGTAGTACATTGTTCTGTAATGCTCTCCATAGATAACTTTGTTATTTTGGCATTTACATACTCGCATCAATTCACCATTAATGTTTAATTGCAAACAGCTCAACAAATTTTCAAAAACTTCCAACTCTTAAAAGTTGTGTTGCAAATAAAGACAATCAACTTGATCTCAATTTGTAAACATTTTATGCATTTATTTTCCTGTATACAGCCCAGCCTATGACATAGTCAATTTAATTACCGTATTAAAGATTACATAACTTATTGATTCAAACGCATATGTCATTACTGTATTCTATATCATTTTTTATATCGTTCTATTGTAATCAATAGTCTTGGTCTATATGTATTGACAGTGGTGTATAAGAGTATTGACGTGGGTGAGGGTCGATGGAAAGTGTGGGTGTGATAGCTTGCGCATTGTGTTGTTGAGTGGTGATTTGTAATTTTTCAGTCAAGGGAAACCTGGAGGGCAGTCTTATGCATCCCTATGCTGTTTTTAAGTGCGCATCTGTGTATTGGTGGTCCCAATAATGAGCAGCGGCTGAATGGACCACCCTAAAAAAAAAAATTGTTGAAATAACATTTACTAGATCTGTTTACTATTGTACAATTCATTATCATGTACATGTACAACACAATTTATAATGACAACTATGCTACAATAACATCTTGTATAAAAAAATATACATTTTTATCTACAATGATATATCTATATGGACCACAAAATAACAGTGTAATCTCCGTATATGCCTACATATAAAAATTACAGAATAATGGTAACAAATCCTGTCAAACTATACTTTAACTCGCACACATTTTTTTACTGAAATTTCAAAATTATATACTCTATGTCCATATGCACTTTAAAAATAGAATTTATTTTACACCAACCATGAGATACTTAACAGAAACATACAATGAAACAATGGAAAAAATAAACAGTGAACTTGCAGACTACCTTTTAGTCAAATAGAATAGTAAACAGATCTCTTGGTAAGGGCGCCATCGTGACAGCTATTTTATTTTATGCCGTGGCTAGAGGTACGCTACCGTATCTCACCAGCTTGACAACATCGTTCAAAAATCGCTCGCTGTGATCCTGCTTTCCTACTGAGTTCCTCACTGATGACGTCAGCCTCATAGAGCACAAAACCAGTTCATAGCAATTTGCCAAAAATGAATACAGTATTTAAATTTAAAATGCCACGACTACAGAACAATTACAGTACTGTAATGGCAATCTTCTATCGCATACCAGAAAGTAAACCAAGTGATTGTTAGTTACTCGAAGATACATTATATTACATAACACCTTTACTGTACAAAAGCAAAGACTATATGCTTACAGTATACAATAACAATGTGTTAGCTTTCGTAATTAATTTTACCTTTTCCTGATATAGTGTAACATTTGATCTGATCATTTATATGAAAGTTAGGTTTGAAACCATTAGTTATGTAACTTATAATTACAGTGTTATGGATAAAAATATAGTGCATTAAGTTTCCGTTAAAATTAATTTAGTATCTTCTTTATGTTTTGTAAGTTTATTTGTATTCTGGGTTATAATCACTAATATGATGGGTGCCGTTATAGGATTAACTCATATTCTCAAGATAGAAGTACTAAATGTTACTTTACCAGCTTCCTCTGCATTCAGCGAGCGATTTCACAAGTCTTTATTGACGGTGACGTCACACTGATGGCGCCATTTTATTGGATGATGCAATTTACCGTATCTTTAGCAAAACGGAAGTTAAGCTACGGTACTGAATCTCTAGCCATGGCATTGGTCGGCCTTTCTACAGGGCACTTTGAAATTTTCAAAGTTTAAAAAGTTTTTAATTAAATTAAGAGTTACATTGTTTTCACCACTGACGGCCGTGGTGAGACAAGAGTTTCAAGATACTACTGCCTTTCTGAATTTTCTAAAACAAAATTTAAAAAATACTAAATAATTCATTATAAGCCAGTATCTTTGTCATGAATAATGAGGGCACACAATTCAAACCTAACCTGAAGCGTAGGCAAGTTTGAGTTATTGCCCATAAAATATCCATTTTATAATAGTAATTAACTATTTGCACACATAATTTTATAGTTGATATAACTGTCATGTTTATTACTCAAAATAATATATACTCATTGTTGTTAATAATAAAATATATTTATAGTGGTTTGCTTTTGTGTGGGTGTGTATCAAGATCCAGTCATGCATGAAAGACAACAATAGAAGTTGAGCCTATATGAGCTAGCCAGTTGCTAGGAAACCATTCATGCTTAAGTTTATTAACATAATAAAAATATCTACACAGCTTATAGCCTGTCTCTGGTGAAAACTGGGGGGTTTTTTTTCATATTTTCTCTGACAGACTGAGACATGAGCCAAAAATATGAAGATTTTGACTAAAAAGCCTCAAATATTAGTTTGATGTTTAAAAAGACCAATTTTTCAAGCTTTAATAAATGCCTTATCACCCTGTGGTAACAATTTTACCGAACACAATGTACATCGGGAATTATTGTTTGCAAACAACCCGTAGAGAAACATTTCTGACCGACCAAACCCAAGCCTACAGAGATCTATAAAATGCCAAATAATTTTCATCAATTAATTAATTATTGGCGCAAGTTTTTTTTTATTATTATTTTCATTATTATTATCAATTGTACCAACCCCTTCCCCTTTACTTCCTTACAAAATGGTTCATGCTCCATTCCATCATTGTCATTGGAAAAAATTTGACCAGTTTCCCTGGATCTATAAGACCCTGAACCTGGGATACCTGCTGGCCCCATCTTGTAACTGTCAGACCCCTGTTGCTTTGCTTCACCCCTGATTTATATCCTTGAGCCACCTCTGCCTCATCAACAATAAAATATTATTTATATTATTATTATTGTTATTATTATCAATAGTACTAACAATAAAATAGTATTAACAATACAATTGCCATGTTATGTTGCCATAGAGATGCAGATGCATTTCTGTTGCCATAGAAATACAGATGCATTATGTATGAGACTTCCAGCTAGGTGACTATTATCTTGCAGTGTTGTACTCACAATTCCATCTTGATCATTTAAAATTACGTCTTTGGTTTACACGATCTTTGGTGTACAAGTAACCTATCTGGTAAAAACGTCCGCCCACAGTGACATGGTACAAGAGCCTTCTGCGATGCTTCCCACGATGCTTGATTCATCATTGCTAGATCGTACTTTCCATTACCTAAAGAAAAAACAAATAAACAAATGTTCCATTATTGCTATTAACACTTTTCTGTGGAGTCTTTATAGTGTACTGTTCAAAGTTAACAGAAATTAATCATTAGTTTTAGATTATAATCAGGGTTATAGCTAGAGAAAATGGATGATATTTATGATTACACTGGATAAATTGAACACTGATTGCATACTGTACTGCAGGTCTGATGTATAATTGTAAAATCTTTCTTTACTAAAAAAATATATATAATAAATTTATCTTTAATTCTTTCCACATTCAGCAGGACCCCAACTGGGAGGGGTGCCCCAAAGAGGGGTCAGATTTCCCCAACGAAAGCAAAGTGGGCGTGGTCGAGCTTCTAAAATGTTTCTAAAGTGGTCCAGGGGACGAAGCCCCAAAAATTTTGACAATTTAGGGGGTTCAAAGGCTCATTTAATCGAATTTGGAGTCTACTAATAATGTAGAAAATACATATAATTTGTTTTCCTCCCAGACGAATTGTGCTTTTTCTCCCCGATTGATGATTTCCAGTTGGCGGTGACAGTGTAATGGTGTAACCAAATACTTCCATTGTAAATATATAGACACCTGAGATGATTAATGCAAGATTGCCTGATGCTCATTATACCTTGTACAGTAACAGCTTATGAATACTACTAGAAATTGCAAATTGCAAGTGAAGTGCTGCGAAATACAACTGAATATATGTTCTTCGAACAAAATTATTTATGCGAGTCAAGTGAAAATAATGAATAATAAAAATATAACAAATAATACGAGACACTACCCATTGTCTATATTAGAACACTTCTCATTGGGTAACAAAGTCGTAATTTTTCATTTTTGTCAAAAAGTGTCTATAATGGTGAATTATGGTTTAGGTTTTTTTTAAATAAAGTTTCAAAAATGTCTATGTATGTGGAAAATGTAGTTGATTACCAAAGGTTACAATTTTTATTTTGAAGACTGCATGGTCTAGGAAGTACGGAAGCACCTAAGTGCCATTCGACTTGACGACTTGTCAAGATAATTTATGTCGTCAAGTCGACATGATATACGTATCATGTCGACATGGCGAGATAGATTATCTTGACAAGTCGACATAGTAAAAATTGTATGTTGTCATGGCGAGATAGATTATCTTGACAAGTCGACATAATACATATTGTATGTTGTCTTGGTGAGAGATTATCTTGACAAGTCGACATTATAAAAATTGTATGTTGTCATGGCGAGATAAATTATCTTGACAAGTCGACATAAGATAAATTATCTCGCCATGATAACATACAATTTTTAGTATGTCGACTTGTCAAGATAACCTATCTCGCCATGACAACATAACATTTTTACTATGATAACCTATCTTGCCATGACAACATACAATTTTTACTATGTCAACTTGTCAAGATAATCTATCTCGCCATGACAACATACAACTTTTATTATGTCGACTTGTCAAGATAACATATCTCGCCATGACAACATACAATTTTTACTATGTCGACATGTCAAGATAATCTATCTCGCCATGACAACATACAACTT